AACTTGGTTTGTTACAGAGAAGGAGAAAAAGCTTGTAGCTAAGGAAGCCAAGGTAATTATCTTGAACAGAGTTTCTGTATGCTTTAGGTTATCCATACAATTGACACACTTCCTTTTAGAAAATTTAATTATCGTGTTTGGTTTTCCAAAATGTACAAATGCTTTAATAGGAAGCTCTCGGTAAGAGAAAAGGTTCTGGCAGTGAGGCAATTAGTGCTGAACAAGCAGAAGAATTGAAGATGAAGGAAAAGAGAAAACGAGAGGGTGAGGTACTGCACTTTAATAATTCCTTCATTATAATTTGTCTGGACCAATTTGATTCACATACAGTTGATTTTCTTTTCTTGTTAGAAAAATTTGCCTAGGAAAACGCAAAGGAAATTGGAGGCAGCTAGAGAAATGTTAGAGGAGGAAGGAGATGAAGTTAAGGCACACGTGCATTCCCCTTCTCTATGTTGTATTGTTCTGAAGTTCATTGCTAACATTCTTGACATATAAATCGTGCCAAGGATAAAAAAATTACTTAGTAGATGATGTACCTTCTCCTATTAGTTAGTATAATATAAATATATTCATAAATATGCAAAATCAATGAGTGCATGCTTACTCAAGTAGCTTCTAAATGCTAGAATATTTGTAACTGACCAGGGAAAACAGAAAAGCAAGGAGGACAAAACAGGAATTTATCTTGTTGATGTGGCTTATCGCCGAGCGAAGGCAGTGAAGGCCGCCAAAAGGGCTGTTGAGGCTGGCAATATCGTGAAGAAATCCGTCAAGAAACCCAACCAAGTTCGTAAATCGAGATCAGAAGAGATGCAGGAGCTTTTTGAGGGCGATATGAATGAGAAAAGGCAGCAAAGAACTACTACGCGAGGTGGCGGGAAGAGGAAATCCTCGTTCAAGAGCAATTCACGGTACAAATATTTACTTGCAGACATTTGATTTCATTTAATTTATTTATCTATTAGCATGGTTAAGGGTAATTTATATTTGATGTCGGTCGAACTATCATCAACCTTGTGCCTAATAGTTGTGTTGTGATATGTATATGGTGTGGCCACTCATTTTAAGTTTGTTGTTTTGGTATTTTGATCACTGCAACTCATCTTACTCTGCAGGTACAAGCGGCGGTAGTTCCGACTTCTGAAGTGTCGTCTGCTTGAATGAGCGGGTCAAAATATTAAGGGCCTCGGGCGGGTCGCAAAACGGCTGTGCCCTCTCTATTTGGATTTTTTTTTTTTTAAATAAAATTATTAACTTCAAAATTAAACTATAAATGTACTTGTAGCTGATTGTTGGAATACAAGGAGCTGGCACTTTTAAATGATAGTTGAATAATAATTGAAGCTTGTAACACCCCGCCTTACTAGTAAATCAGAGTTGCGCGTTTATTCGCAAAGTCTGTGAAAACTAAAACAATTTTACTTTGCGAAACTGATTTGGGGTGTTACCGTGAAAATCTTTACTTATCTTTAGAAAACCTGTTGTTTTAACTTATTAAAACGTCCAGTTATTTAAGACTTTATTTTCCTGAATAGTTCGTCAAAGTACGATAAAACTGTCAAAATCATCAAACCATCGTCAAAAGATAGTTCAAAAGTAAGCGGAAGCATAAATGTTA